GGGGGACTCTTTATTCTCAATTACCGCCTATTTTTGAACTTCGAACTTTTAAAAATGGTTTATTGGCTATTTGAAATCGATCACCTCTTAAGCATAAAAGTACGCATAAAAGAAAATTTCAACAAATTGAATAGTAGTTTTTATTAGTTCGAGTTAATGAACAGTACTGGATAATGGATAATACACTTATCGGTCACTATTGTATTCGTAATGCGTTTTCTGCGTTATAAATACGCGAGGGGTCATTAAAAATCTCTCGAATCGAAAAGATATAAAAATTTTAAGATGCATCGAACCCGAATGACTCGTAAATTTTCATTTCATATACATATACATTCGAATCGAATTTTTTTTTTCTTCTAAATTTTTCGTAAAATTTGAAAATTGTTTATCTATCTAATCGTTATATATAATACACAGATGCATGCATTTCTCGTAGTTTAGCAAGACTTGGCAATTATTCAGCAATTTTAATTAATGTGCTTTTTCACGATAAACAGATACTAATGACACGATAGATAAAATTCTCAGAATGTCACGTGATTTCCATCGAATTCGTAATTCCTTTTCTAGATATTTAATTCCTTTTAATCGAACAAATTCATTTAATTAAACGTAACGAATATATTTACGATATTTAATCATATTTAACTTGCTAATGAAAAAAATTACTGTAAATAATTAATTAACATTACGCGATATTATTTCACGAACGAAGTATTGAAATAAATAAGTTAAAGAGATTGTAGTAGACTTTTTATTTGCTTAAAATTCGAATAAATCCAAATTTCTTTTTTTTTAATTAATGCGTTATTAAATTTCCCATGTAAGTGTTTTTTTTGATAGGTACCGTTATTTGTTTTCAACCGATCAAATGTAAATATGTACTCTTTTATCGCTTGATTCCAAAAATAACTACATCGCATAAAAAAAAAATCGATAAGGTATTTATATCCACGTTTCGAAAATTCAGAGTTGATGTATTTTTTTTATTAAAAGAAAAAAAAAAAAGGAACATAATATTACTTTATTTGTATATTTTTTACGCATTCCAAACATAAAAAAAAAAATGGATAAAAAAATATTTCAGAAATCGAAACATGCACAATAATTTTTGATGGACAATGATATAATTTAAAGAAAAAAACAATTCCTATTTATACATTTATTCATTTTCTATGGCAAAGTTAAAAAAATATCTATCCGCAAAGTCTTAAAAAATATAAATTTTCTGATTTTTTTTGCACTCATCATCATTGCAAACAATAAAACCAAAGTGATACGTAAAAAAAAAAAAAAAAAAATTTCAAAATTCATAAATAAATTTTTTTGCAAACAAAAAAACCAAAGTGATACGTAAAAAAAAAAAAAAAAAAATTTCAAAATTCATAAATAAATTTTTTTGCAAACAATAAAACCAAAGTGATACGTAAAAAAAAAAAAAAGAAAAAATTTCAAAATTCGTAAATAAATTTTCGAAATTGCACGTGTTACACGTGGATACAACGTTATAATGCATACACAGCATGCGCTGTACGTACGAGATAGATTAACAAAAAAAATTCTAACACGCTTTTACGCTCGACTCCTATATTACTAATTAGATCTTGTCTTGATATTTATACGAGCATTAAAAATATTCGAGCAATTTTTATCCTTATTCGATTAGAAAAATATCTCGGCGTAAAAAAAATCTGTACAAAAACTTCGCGATATTCATGAAAAAAAAAAAAATGATAATCAAGAATTTACACAAGAAAAATTTGTCTGGCCGCGGATCTAACGAACTTACATAAACTACGAAGAACGAACGAATACGAAACGAGCGATATACCGGTGTGACTGACATTTGACGTACGATGAGAGAGAGAGAGAGAGAAAAAAAAATCATTAATTTCCTTACGAGAGCAAAGATAAATCGTCGCCTTCCTGATTTCCTTCGCTAACTAATTACACGCTAGCATCTACGGAATTATTGCGAAACTGTAATTTGAACGTTACGCGAAAGAAAATACGATGAATAGAGAGCAGAAAAAAAAAACGTGGCATTGTTGTTGTATCGTGAAAATAAAATATGTACATTTAATTTTCTTCTAAATTGTTAACATAAAAAACGTAATAATAAACATAAGTAATATATATATATATATATCGAAATATCAAAAGCACCGTTTCATCGGTGGATAAAAAAGCTATTTGCCAAGAGTTGACAAGTAATTTCACGTTTTGGATAAAAAGAAGAAAATTTGTAAAATTTATAAAGAATAATTCTCTAAATTTATAAAGAAAAATGAGAAAAAGCGTAAATTTGATCGAAAGCAGGAAAATATATATATCGATATAAATAATCTTACGATATATCGTAAATATATCGTATCGTATAGGGAAGACAAACGAATCTTACCTCTTGCTCTTCGAGATACAAATTTGTCACTGAACTTGTGATTAAATAATACACGGACGATACATATATATATATATAT